CATTTGTAAGATTTAGATGCTGCACAATGATCCTGCTGCAACTGCCATAGGTAAAAATGAGGACACTATAAATAATGAATCATTGATAGGAGCATCTAGAGTATCACAAATTTTACTGGGCAGGATATTCCAGGGGGACAATCTTTATTCTTGGAAATCTGGGAATCTTTTATATTTGCTTCAATGCAAAACAGGACGCAAGTGCATGTCACTGGTGCCAAGACTAAACAGTTCTATTTCCCCAAAGTCTCATAATTAAACTTTGGAAGTATGTGTCAACCGGGATTTAAAAAAATCATCCAAACTGAACGCATCTGCGCCTGTATTTAGTCTAAATAATTGGGTTGTCCAAATGAAGATCCCAAAATGTAGACAAAGAAAAAAATTGACTGTTTCTCTGGTTTTATACTGAACACTTGTCATATTTTTTCTTATTTTTTTAAACATACATTAGTATCAGTAATCATTACAGTTATAGAAGTGCATTCCTGACACTCCCATGCTTTGTTAAAACAGGATAGACTGGACTACAAGATTTTTATTTCATCAGTATAATTGATCTCTTGCAATATGTACGTTACACAAAATATGGCATAGAAACTTATTGCAAAGGTTAAAAATAGAGAACAAAATTCTTCTGCATCTACTCATACTATTTCCTTTGTCGTCTTTCTTTTTTATTATTATTCTGTAGGCATGTTAATTCAATAAGCTTCTTCAGGGGGGATTATTTCTATCAGAAACATTTCCAGGACATAAAAGAACAAACTAAGCAAATGAACTGAGTACAGCACAGCCATTAAAAAAAAAACCCAAAAAACACAAACAAACCTGGTTCCGGAGTTTCCAGAGCAACTTCAGACACGGTGCTAAATTCAACATAAAGGCAATGGACTAAATCTAGTATTGCATTAACATAATGGGACATTCTTCCCCTTTCCCTCCTGATCCTTTGCACTGATACATGACTTCAGAGGCTTTCACTGTTCTCCAGAGCATGTTTCAGGAGTGAAGGGAGTGGGGAACTGGTAGAATCAGTTCCAGCAAGGAAGCACCCTACTGGATACTAGCCACTGTGTCTTTCTTAAGTCCCTTACTTGAACATACAAGGGTTCTAAGTATACCAAGATAATAATGAGAAAAACATTTATTTTGCCTTCTTTTCCCAGTGACAATGCCTTTAAATTTTTTAATCTTCTTTTGCATTTACAGTATCCTAATTGGTGGACAGGAGCAATAACTTATACTGACACCAAACATGCAGCCATATGATAATCATATATTTTTGCTGGCTCAAATCAGCATTGTTTCTAGCATTCAGTCATGCCTAAAACGTACAGCTGTGAACCAATTTAAAGTAGTTTATTCCTCATCCGTTACTACATTTTTTGGGGATAGCATCAGTCTGCTGTTGGAGGTCTAAAATCCAAGCTGGAAATAAGGCTAGGAGTTGATTGCAAAATAACTCCAGTTTAAGACAGGAAAAAGAGATTTTATTGATACTATGTTTAAAAAACACAAAAAAATACTGGGTTATATTTAACCCCATATTCTTAATAGAGGAAGAAGCAAACCAGACCACTCCAAATGCCTAAGGCTCATAGTAAATAATGGAATGGATCTGGTACATCCAAATAGCCTAATATGACTGTCTCTAAAATAAATACTGGATTGAATCAATATTTTAACACAGGAAAATGGTGAAGTAGAATTCTCTGCCCTCTCCTCTCTGTAATAGCCATGCATCCTTCTAAAAATTCTAAACATACGGCTGGAGACCCATACAGTGTGGTGTGAGTTATGGTGCAATGGGGGGTGATTTCAGGCAAAGGAATGTTGTAGGAGCAAATCTCTCCTCTCCCTGGCAGACACAGTCTGGATTCAACCCATCATAAATAAGAAACCTTGGTTGCAAATCTGTACTGTGATAACATAAATCCTGTTTCAGATAAAGCCAACTTCGAGCAGACTAATACCTTAGATCAGTGGTCCCAACCTTTTCTGAACCACAGAACGGTTGGGGGGGCACAGCACGCTCGTGGGGGGCATGGCACGCCTGTGGGGGTGTGGTGCTCTTGCAGGGGGCGGTACACGCTTGCACGCGGTGGTGCTCGCAGGGGGCGCTCATGCACATGCACAGAGCGTGCTCACAGGGGGTGGATCACACTCACGCGGGCAGGAAATCTGTGTCCACGGCCCGGTCCTACCTTGGCCGCAAATCGTTGCCGGGCCGCAGACCGGGGATTGGGAACCCCTGCCTTAGATAACAGTTTACTTCTCACATCCAGCAGACCTCTATAGTTATTCGTAATGGGTTTCTTAAATATATATACATAGGAATGTATGAAGAACCAGTGTAATGTAGCAGACAGAGTGTTTTGACTAGGATTCAGGAGAACTGGGTTCAAATCCCCACCTGGCCACAGAAACTCACTGGAGGTTGCACTGGTAAAGCCACTCCTTAAATATCTCATATGCCTCAGAAACCCTATTAGGGTTGCCATAAGTTGAAATCAACTTGATAGCACATAACACAACATACAAAAAGTAATGGATACTAAACAAAATGTTCAAATTTTCTGCTGCCCTAAAATTACCTGTGACAGAATGGTTCTCATTTTCACTTTATAGTTTCACTTTCTTGCTCAGATCTAAAGAAAAAATGGCTTCCTTGCTTTTCTTAGTTCTTGAGAGCAAGGCAGTTTTTTAAATGTTACCTTTTCTTTCCTGTGTTCAGGGGATGTGTTTTCCCTATTAAATTGATTTTTTAATATTGTGTTTGGTTAATTTACTGTGGATTGCTCATCTTCCTTTGCTTTTGTTTTCAAAGTTCTTTAAGGTCTTTGAATTGATTCCCTGTTTATTGTGGCATTTGGACAAGTGCTACACAGAACACAAATGGAAGGAAAGGAAAAAACCCAAAAGAGCCAGTTTCTTTTGTATTTAACCAAAAGGCCACTACCCAACAGACTGAAAATGGAATGATGCATCATTACCCAAAAGAACCCAAAATGAATAAAAAATGAACACTTTCCATGCACACATCACTACTAGCCACTATTTTTACTTTTCATTTCCTATTACAGTGATACATCATAACCAAACAGCCCTTTTGCATATATGGACAGATTTCTTAGTTGTTGCTAAAAATTTTTCCAACCAGTTCCAACTAATACTTTTGTTTACTTTCCCAGTTAAACTCATTAAAGCTAGCAGTCACAATTAGAATTATTATCTCTTATCTCTATCTGCCCTGTGCCTAAATTAGTTAACATTAGTTATCATACAATTAATCTGATGTCCAAACATTAGTTATCATACAGTCATATACCAAATTTATTAGCTGCCTGTATGCTTGGATCCATACCTTCACAGTCCCCATTTTTCCCACAATGAGTGAGGAAGTCTGAAGGGGACTTCCTGCATGCATTCCCCTTAATGTGAGTGGAAACTTCTGTGTGATCAGGAATCTGGACAGAACATGTGTATTCAAGTTTGTATAAGTGGAAGCCAACTTCAGATCTTCCTTTTCATCTAGATGGGAGTGTTGATGTTTTAAAGCAGTGGTCCCCACTCTTTTCGGAACAGTTGGGGGTGGGGTCCATATGCAGGGGTGTGGGCACCCCCATGGTTATGGGTGGGCATGGTACTTTCGCGGCTGGGTGTGGCGCGCTCGTGGGTGGACATGGAGTGTGCTGATGGGCATGGTGCACTCACACACATGCACAGATGGGCATGGTGTGCTTGCAGGTGAGTGGGGTGTGCATGTGCACCACTCCAACCCACAAACACACCACACCCACCCATGGATGTGCCTGCGCATGCACGTGAGTGCACCACGCCCACCGTGAGTGCATGCAGGGGGAGGGAGATCTGTCCGGTGTCAGTCCGTGGGCTTTGCAGGACCGGGCCATGGGCCAGGGGTTGGGGATCCCTGTTTTAAAGGAATGATAATGCAGGAAATGGGGCCATGCACATAGCCTAGTCCCCTTCCACTTGTTGTTTTACTGTATTCAAGTACAACACCTAAATATCAATGAGTAGGGTATTTATAATAACACATCTATTTTGGAAAGCAGAAACTGGGTACAGCATCTTGATACAAATTTTGAATCATGATTCAATGATGCTATGAACACTTCAACAATGAATAGGCAATATTCACATCCTTGTTGCAAATAATCTGATGTCCAAACCAATAGGAATTTGGTATATCATTCTCATCTGTAACTTCCATTGATTCAATGGGACTACAGGAGTTGTAACTCACTCTTGGATTTGAGCTAATCTATATGTTAAGAACCAGTTTATGCTGACCCTAATAGGACTTTCTAGGTAAGTGAGGAATTTAAGGAATAGTTTTACAAGTTACACACACACGCCATAGCCAAGCAGGGAACTAAACCCAGGTCTCCTGAGTCCTCTATCCGCTACACCACATTCGGTACATGATGTATACTACATGTTTTTTGAAACAGACCATGTTATTGTAAATGCAATTTTCGTTAAGAACCAGTTTACTGGCTGACAGAAGGCAAATCTTTCCTCAGAAAAGGAAAAACAAAGTGGTGATTGAATGGAGAGCTCAGCACCAGGAGAATGGCTGTGGTTTCATGCTCAGGATACTCTGCAGTTAATCAATATTGAAACAAACTCTTCAATTTCTGCCCTTGAGACTGCCCATCATGGCTTTGCAATATTAAGGTTTTTCTGCAGTTAAGGTGCCCTACACAGGCTGCCAAGGATAACATTTCTTTAGATGTTACAAATATATTGCAAATCTTCAAGGATCTGATCCAGATGTTTTTAAAATGACTGAGAAAATGTGGAAGATAATTCTATTTTTTTCTTTTTAAAACTGCAGTTACAGGACTCAGCACACACTATTAAATTGTCTTCTGTACAACCTTTGTCTGTCTATTCCATTTGGACAATTTGCAAGAGAGTGGCTACCTACATAACTTGACATCAAAAGCACAATTATTGATATATATTCTTACCTAGTGATTAATATGGCTGCATCTATTGGTGACACCTCTTCACCCCAGCTTGTTGACATCTCTAAATGAATGTCGTTTTTCTTACCAAATTCTTCATGTTGCCATTTGCAAAAACTCTCCAGCATTTTTTCACCATGATGCCCAATATACATATCTGCCTGAAAATTGTAATACTCAGTTTAATGTAATATACTGTTGTAGAAGTCTATAACAAAAGATTCCCTAAAATTATACTTAAAGTAACAAAGAACCTATTTCTATTTAAATACTGAAATATGAGCTGCTGTAGCAATCGTAGTATCAAACACCTATTTCATTAAAACCACCATAACTGTTCTTCTCATAGCTCGCTGTAAACCTATGTAAATAAAGTTCTACTATTTTACAGTTTTGGTTGCCCATGTATTTTTATCATGTGACCTGTACAAACTGAATCATAGACCTATTGTAGAGCTGTCTGGAACACACATTTAATGATTTTTTTTAAACTAGACAAATAGTGAAAAATTTCTATATATCTTTCAGTAGCTAAAATTACTAAATGTTTGGGTTATTATTTTAACTATCATTAGCTTTATACACTAGTTTGAGGTATATGGTACTTCTACACAGCACGTTTGTTTCAGGAAGGTTAAGTCTTTATTATCTCACTCACAGTAATAATATCTCTAATAATATCACTACTAATATCTCACAACTTCCTAATCCCCATAGCACATTCGATGCCACACATGATATTGAAAAACGTTTGGACCTAAAAATCTGAAAACCCCAAAACAAATCTAAAAACAAGCCCTGAAAACAAATGTCTTGTTCATTACAGACCTCACAAACCACTTCAAAACATAATGGTTGTCTCTCAACATAATTCATTACAAATTACAAAGAAAAATATCTGCAAGACGGGAAAAATTACTTTCTGGACTATGACTCCCAGAATACTCCAGCAAGCATGTGAGAATTAGAAAGTTTTAAAGACAGGTTACCTACCTGTAACCATAGTTCTTCTAGTGGTCCTCTGTGAATCCACACAATTGGGTTGTTTTGCACCTGCACTGAACCTCTAGGAAATTTCTACAGCTTAAAGACGCATGATTAGTGGGACGTTCCCTTGTGAAGCGCATGCTCTGCCCATCACTGATCCTCTCAGTCCCTGTAAAAATCTGCCACTGTCAAAGAGCTATTTCAAACTACAATGTGACAGACAGAGGGGAGGATAGGTGGGATGTGTGGATTCACAGAGGACCACTAGAAGAACTATGGTTACAGGTAGATAACCTCTCTTTCTTCTTCATGGCCTCTGTGAATGCACACAATGGCCTCTGTGAATGCACACAAGTTAGCAAGCTCACTTACCGAATGGTGGGATGTCACAGTAGAAAGGATGCCAAAACAGCTCTGCCAAAACCAGCATCATTCCATTCTCTGACATCGAGACGGTAATGTCTGACAAAGGCCGATGGAGTAGACCATGTCGCTGCACAGCAGATGTGAGGGACTTCAATCCCATGCTGGAAGGCAATAGATGTGGACAGCACTCTGGTAGAATGGTTCTTTAAATGTTCAGGGGGTGTTTTGCCTGTTAACACATACGCCAATGAGATAGTTTAGACAATCCATTTAGAAAAAGATTGAGCTGGAGCTCCTTTATGAGGGCCGTGAAAACATGGAAAAAGTCTCTGTGATTTTCTGAATAATGTGGTCCTGTCAATGTAAAAAGCCAGAGAGCGTCTTATGTCAAGTGTATGGAGCATGCATTCGAGAGGTGCTGATGGATATGGAAACAGGGTAGTAGAATTATCGGTTGATTGAGGTGAAATTCAGATACAACTTTAAGTAAGAAGGACATGTCAAAATAAAGAGTGACCTTATCCAGATGGCACTGAAGGAAGGGTGGATCGGATCGGAGCGTTCCAAGTTTGCTAGCTCACTAAGCAGATGTTATTGCCACGAGAAAAGATGTTTTCAAGGAAAGTACTTTAAGATTACAGGTAGCCATCAGTTCAAAGGGAGGTTGAGTAAGTGTATTGAGGACAAGTTGTAAAGACCACTGAGGGATAGGAAGTTGATGTAGGGGGCAAATATTGTTGAGTACCTTGAGAATTTTTTTCAAAGTTGGATGAGAAAAAAGTCTGGCCGATTTAGAATTAGAAGGTTGATGAGCTACAATAGCAGAGATATAAACTTTCAAGGTGGAATGAGATAGTCCAACATTGAAGAGATGAAGGACAAACGTAAATAAAGTCTTCAAAGAGACTGGTGTTGCCAGCAAGTTCTGAGAATCAGTAAAGGAAAGGAATGCTTTCCATTTGTTTTGGTATAGAAGCCGGGTAGAGGGCTTTCGAGCTTGATCAAGTACATCCTTTATGGTGGGAATATCCTCCATGCTGTCAGGTTCTGAGAGGGTATGTCTGGATGGTAAATCATCCCGTTGTCTTGAGTAAGAAGGTTGGGGACTGGCAGGAGTTGGAATGAGTCGGTTGACATTGACCTCAGGTGGGTGAACCATGGTTGTCTCAGCCACCACGGGGCAAGAAGGATTGCATCCAACTGGAACTGTTGAAATCGAATGATGGTTATTTGTATGAGCAGTATCGGAGGGCATAGGTAGAGGAGGTCCTTGTCCCATTCTATCATGAAGGCATCTCCAATTGAGTTCTTGTCAATACCGGCTCGAGAGCAGTAATGTTTGCACAGCATTTGCTCGAGAAGCAAAGATGTTGATGGAAGGGGTGCTCCAACGGTCGCAGAAGAGATTGAAGATTGTGTTGTTTAGGGACCATTTGTGTCTCCGCGAGGTGAGGCAACTGAGATAGTTCATGATAGGTAAGCCGCCTAGAGTGGTCAATTCTGACCAGATAGGCGGGGTATATATAAATAAATAAATAAATAAATAAATAAATAAATAAATAAATAAATAAATAAATAAATAAATAAATAAATAAATGAGGGAGTTTTCATCTGTGGCTATATGGACCGCTACTGGAAAGATGTGATGTAGGTAACATCATTCCCAGAGCTCGATGGTCAAGTACAGCAGGGATAGAGAATGTGTGCCTCCTTGTTTGTTTATGTAGTAAAGGGCCGTCATATTGTCAGTTGCGAGTTGGACTGCACGTCCCGCGATAAGTGGTAGGAAAGCGTGGAAAGCTGTGATAATTGCTAAAAATTCGAGATGATTGATGTGTAATGTTTTCTCTTGATTTGTCCACAGGCCATGGGTCCTGTGATGCAGACAATATGCTTCCCATCCCAACAGACTGGCATCGGTAGCAACTTGTATTGTCAACTGAAGAGGCAAAAAGTCGGTAGCAACTTGTATTGCCAACTGAAGAGGCAAAAAGGGTTTTCCAATGAGCAAATTCGGGGGAAATGTCCACCAAGTGAGTTGACGTGCAAGTTTGGGTGTTACTGTAGGACGCATAGATCATGGGATCGAATTGTGACAGGTACTATGATTGCAACGACCTCATTTTGAGACGTGTGTGCTGTATAACTGAAGTTGTCAAGGCCATGAGTTGGAGAAGGTGTTGGACATGATGGGCTGATACCAAGGCTAGAGGTCGGAATGGTTGAATAGCCTTCTTTAATTTGAAGATTCTCTCGTGTGGGAGAAAGGCTCTGGCCTGGAGGGAATAGAAGTGCGCCCCGATGCAGGTTGCGTTTTGAGACGGCTCGAGATGTGACTTGGTGAGATTCATGTTAAGGCCGAAGTCTCTAAGTGTATCGAAAGTGAGTTGGGTAGCTCTGACAGCATTGTGATATGAGGCGGAGACTATCAACCAGTTTTCTATGTAAGGGAATACATTGATACTTCAAAGTCGAAGGTAGGCAGCAACTGGTGCCATGCATTTTGTAAAAGCCCTTGGTGCTATGGAATGTCCGAATGGGAGAGAACAGAACTGGTATGTGGTGTTGTTGAATCGGAATCAAAGGAAATTGCGGTGATTCGGGTGAATAGAGATGTGAAAGTATGCGTCTTGGAGATCGATGACGACAAACCAGTCTCCCTGTGAAAGGAGAGGAATGATAGTGTCTAGTGTCAACATTCTGAAGTGTCTAGGTCGAATGAATTTATTGAGATTTCTGAGGTCGAGGATGGGATGGAGTCCTCCATCCTTTTTTGGTACTGTAAAATATCTGGAGTAGAAACCGTTATGCAGATCATATGGAAGGACTGTAGTTATGGCTTGTTTTTGGAAAAGAAGGGGAAACTTCTTCTTGAAGGACTGTCGAATAAGGAGTATTTTCAATTTTTCCGATCGGTTTTAAATTCAATGAAATAACTGTTTTTAATGATAGAAAGAACCCATTGGTCATTAGCTATACATTGCCAAGTATTAAAAAAGGGGCGCAATCTTGTTTGGAACCGGGTTGAAGTATTGAGAGTAGGTGAAAGGAATCTATGGGTATTGCTTACCCTTCTTTTGAGGGCACCAAAAGGGTTGGTGGCATGGTTGTTGTTGCTGGGTTCGAAAGGATGATGGAGCCAAGATTGAGGGTCCCTGAAAGGGTCTGTCCAATGTTTGAGGTTTGTATTGTCTGCCTGGTTGTTGAAATTGTTGGTATGATTGTTGGTAAAAAGGTTGTCTTTGATATTGTGGTCATTAGTATCTGTACGTCTGCTGGGTTGACAAGGATCAAGCTGTTTTACAGATCTTATGGAGGTTCTCCATCACTTCATAATTTTTTTAATTGAACAGTCCAGCCCCGTCAAACGGTAGATACTCTGTTCTAGATCTGGCATTGTCCACTATCCCAGCAGATCGAAGTCATGCATGATGCCGGAGTGCAATAGAGGTGGCCATAGCTTTAGAGGTGGCATCTGCGATATGGCAAAATGTAATCCTCTGTTGTTTGGCGATTGTGGAAGCCTCAGTATAGATATTAAGGGCTTCTGATTTAGCTGATTCTGGGGCTGCTTCAAGTACTGGGAGAATCTTGTTGCATAGTTGCCTATGGTAAGCTCCCATTGCGGCTTGATAGTTTGCAACTCACATAAAAAATGAGATGACGGAATACAGCCTCCTGCTGAGTATATCTAATTTTCTCCTTTCTTTGTTTGTAGGTGCAATTGAGGATTTATTTCAGGCTCTTGATTGGTTTGACTCTACTATTCTGGAGTTTGGTGTCAGATGTTTGGTGAGAAATGTAGTATCCACACGGTGGGTCTTGTAATGATTTTCGATATCCACACCATGGGTCTTGTAATGATTTCCATTCGTCTGGAAATTTGTAAGGAAGAGGGAAGTTTGTCCCATGATTCCTTGATCAAATCAAGCATAGCCGGAATGAATGCCAAACTGAGAGGGGGCGTTTTATCTTGATTAATATTGTCAAACACCAAGTCCTGCTTAGTTGGTGGTGGTTCCTCAATTTGAAGTTGTAAAGATTTAGCCATTCTCATGACTAGTTGAGAATAAGAAGTGAAATCCTCTGATGGAGAGGGTGGGTGATTTTCAGTGACATCAGAAGTTAGTGTCGGCAAATTAGATGGTGATTCCTGTGATACGCCAGAGGCAAGGTCCTGAATTGATGGAGATGATGAAGAAGGAGATTGGTGTCGAGGTTTTGACATTGATATTTGCATGGAGGAAGGAGGCTGTGTTGTGGGTACCATCTGTGTGGAATTATCTCTCCGTGTCAGTAGGCGGATCTTTATAAATGGTAGTAACCTGCAGTGATGCCTGGGATAGGTGTTTGGAGGAATGCTTAGGACACTTTGATTGAGAATGTTATACAGTTGATGAAGGGTATTTCAAGGTTGGTTTAGATGGAAGGGTTGTATGAGTCGGTATCGAATACTGAGGCAGGTGTCGATGTCGAGGAGGAGATGGAGAGAGTGAAGGTGAATATCAGGGTAGATACGGTAAATTATAGAGAACCTATTTAGGTTCATCATAATATAATATAGTTGTTCTTGAGGATCATCAGACGAACCTATTTAGGTTCATCATAATATAGTTGTTCTTGAGGATCATCAGATATATATGGGTCATATTGGTAGTATCTATCTCTTCTATCATCTCGGAAGTGGTATTGAGAGGATTGTGGATAACAGTAGTACTCCTGGTGTGGGAGGTCGTACAGAGCAGGTGACAGATGTCATCTCTTCTCCCGGTGTTTTCGAGGAGAGTGGCAAGACAAATTGGAGCCGGATAGGAATTGCCTGCCCTGATGATGCAGGGCTCAAATGGGCTGAGGCCTGTCTGGAATGAACTTCAGCTGGAGAGAGGTCAATACTTGGCGGCAAGCTACCAGCGGAGGATGAAGCTTGGGCCGGAGGTAGAGATGGGTCATCTCTGTCAGACAGAGAGCCTAGATGATTCTTCCAGGATGGGAGATGGAAGTCGGTTGTGGCGGGTCGATCTGAGTGGATTTTGAAGGTTTTTTTTCAATTTCTTAGTGGTAACCTTGTATTGTTTCTTCTTAGAAGAGACTAGAGACTGAGTCAAGGCCTTTGACGTTGACACATATTTCAATTTCGAAGCAGACTTCGACTTCTTATGATGGGGAGGAGGAGTTCTTGGCTGGAAGCAGGCATGGGTGGATTTTGCTGATCTGGTTGAGGGTTTGGAGACCATGCAGAGCCCATAGCGACTGGAGGTGGATTCAGAGATTTTTCCCAGAGGTAAGACCTCAATCTTTGTAAACACAGTTTTAGCGCTGGTTTAGTTAGCATTTTACACTTGGAGCAGGAGTGTGTAGGATGTTGTTCCCCAAGACAGAAAAGGCAACAATCGGTGAGCGGGATTTTATTTGCACATAAAATGTACCACTTGAAAGGCGGGGGGGGCATAGAAGAGCATAGGAAACAGGAGGGAAAAAATGGTTGTGGGGGGAATCGGCAAAATGCAGGCAGAGAAAAAACAGGAATAAACTCACAGGGGAAACGACCAATAAAGAAAATGACTGAAAGGAATTTGAAATAAAAAAAGATTATTCGATGGGAAGTATTAATTCAATAGATCGCTCTTGTCTCTGAAACAGGTCTAGCCAGCACGCTGGAGAAAAAGAACTGATGGGATCAGTGATGGGTAGAGCATGCGTTCCACGGGGGAACATCCCACTAATGTGTGTTTTAAGCTCTAGAAACCTCCGAGAGGTTCAGTGCAGTGCAGAACAACCTAATTGTGTGCCTTCACAGAGGCCACAAAGAAGAACAGGATATTTTAAGCAGGGCTGGGTGGAAGTTGACATTTTGCAAGCAAGTCACTCTCCCCATTGCTTTAATTATTACACTGCCTAGGAACTTCTTTAGTGCCCTCACTGATACTCAGAAGCAGCCCATGATCTGAGAAGGAGGGAGGCATGGTGTCCTTCCTGTCCAAGCCAAGGACTGCTGATGTTTACACTTTATCCCAAAGTCTCCTCCTTCTGAGGAAATATGATACCAAGTACAGTGGTATCTCATTTTACGAACTTAATCCGTATTGGAACGGCATTCGTTATGTCGAAAAGTTCATAAGTCAAGGCAAACTTTTCCATAGGAATGCATAGAAAACTATTTAATTCGTACCTGCTGTTTTTTGTTCGTATATTGAGGCGCTGTTTATAGGTAGAGGCATTAGTTCCCATAGGAACTAATGCACAGCCGGTTGATCCGTACTCTACCACTAGGGGGGAGAATTTTTTAAAATTTTTTCTTCTTTTGACCTAAAAAGGGCAGGAAAGGGTTTTTCGGGGGTTTTTGGGTTCGTAAGTCAAGGCTCCGTTCGCAAGTCAAAGCAACGTTTTGCGAACAGAGCCGTTTGTAATTCGAATCGTTCACGAATGGAGACGTTTGTAAGTCAAGGTACCACTGTAGTCAGTTGGATTTGACTCTATTATGGCAGTACAGAGAACAAACAAATCAAATTCAGAGTGAGGGTTGCCCAATTTGAAATAAAAAGCTCTGAAGCAACAGTCAGTTGGTGCTGTGTAGGAACTCATTTTAGAGCACTGTTGCCATACTTGCATGCTGCAGACAGGGAGAAATGCAGCCATGCTTTCAACATTACCCAACCTTTAGACCAGTCATTCTCAACAGGGGGCAGAGGGCATATAGGCCCTTGGGGGACCTGGCACATTTGAAGGGGAGCACAGATTGGAAACACTTGTTCACATACCAACTTACAAGGTTCATCATGCAACTTATTCTAATTCAACCTGTATCTCTTTCACATTGTGGTTATAGTCATCCCAAAAAAAGAGGGTTGAGAATGGCTACTTTAGATAAACACCCTGCCAAATTATTAACAGCAGAGTAAGACTTTCTACTGTTTCATGTGCCCTCCCTTTTCGGTGTCATTAGCCATTGTGTATCTGTTATATATTCTATATTCTAAAAATCTTTACACAGAAAAGATAAATGCAGTACTTTCTTACTGGAGTCTCATGTAGCAGAACTAGCTTAGTCACTCGAAGGTTCACTTGAACTCCAAGGCTCTTGTGTTGAAAAAGATTGAATACCTAATAACAAGAAGGAATAGAGAAACTGAATATTACTAGAAAAAATCTTAAGCTAATGGGAACAGCATCTTGCAAACCTTGATTTTTTAGGCTGTTTTGCATTTGGTCCTGGTGTAAGCGTTCCAACACCCAAAATTTCCACAAATTAGGAACGAAAGCCTCATTAGTTTGGGTGGGATGGGGAAGAAGAGCCCATCTGTATTTGCAAATACGTATTTTTTTTGTTAAAATCAGAAGAACTTGTTACAGAGAATTTTATACCAGCATTTATGGAACATGTGAGTGATCTCTGCTTTTGTTCTGAACATACAAAATGTCATAGAGAACCACTCTGATAAAATTGCAGTAGGGGAAGAAGTAGGCTGTTATACCTCATAACACATTCAAGCCAAACACACTAACAGAGGTCAAAAAGTTAGTTTTGCACCGGATCTGGAGATGGGTTCAGACCTTTGTACCATCATAAAAATATAACTCAGGCTTGTGCTATAAAGTGGAACCCAGTTTTCCAGTTCTAATGGCTGATGCAGTAAGGTCATATCTTTTGTTTTACTGAATAAAACCAACATTATTATATTTTCATGCTAAAAAGTTCCAAATTTCCTACCATATTTAGAATTGTTAGAATAAATCTCCTGGCTGCATCTGCCCCATGATATGAAACCATAGCTGGATCCGCAACAACTACAGTCTCTACATTATATTCTTGAGGTAATTTATAGGAATATCTCTTTCTTCTACCACTTTCTGTTCCTCTTAGACCCTTGGTTCTTCTTTTTTCTGCAACAAAACAAAACAAAAACTAGGTGACACACATACACAAACAGAAAGATGTTTTATGCTAACTATTGATTCATCTAGATCAGTATTATGTAAGTTGTAGTAGCTCTCCTATGCCTCAGGCAAAATTCTTCCCCAGCCCTATTGGGAGTTGTCAGGTATTGCACCTAAGATATTCTGCATCCAAAAGGTAACATACAACACTAATATAAATTTGGCGTACTGCCTAGTCATCTTCAGGAAAATGTTTCCCTGAAATACTTTGTTCTTGAAGATTTTTTCCTTCAAAATTCTAGTATGTTTTTGTTCAAAACTTCAGTGACTGTCAGAATACGACATCTTGGGTTTAGCTGAATTTTTCCATTCACTGTGGAGAATCCCTTCCTTATTCCCAATGCCTGTGAGTACACGGATCTCTTGACACCATGTTTTAACCACCAATAGTGTGTTTTAGACATTGATTATAGGGAAAACTTTCCAACTTAAGAGCTTCCTATGCTGTAGAAGCAAATTAGGAGCATACCACACTGGAAACTTTCCCCTTCTTCTCCAGAGCCTGATCCTACCTAGGTCCAAATCTACCTTTGCTGGGCTTCCTAAATGAGAACTCTTCACGATAGCCTTCTCTGACAGTTACAGAAAAAAAAGTATCACTTAAAAAGTTAGGTTACCTACCTGTAACCATGCTTCTTCTAGTGCATAGGTCAGGAACAGGGGTAAATTACCCCAAATGGGGTAAAAGTGAAAATCCTGGGGGTAATGAGCAGAATGCTACCCCCTCCCT